GGTAGTGAGGTTGGCCCAGGATCGGACATCGTTTCGTTCTGCTGTGCATGGGGTCGCTATGAGTCGGTTCCGACTCGATGGCACCTGACAACAACAACACACAAGATTATTGTTGTTGTTGTTGTTAAGTGCTGCTGAGTGGGTTCCGACTCATCGTGATCCTGTATGGGGTTTCCAAAGAGCAGCTGATGATTTTGAACTGCCTACCTTGTGGTTTTCAGTCCAGTGCTGATCCTACAGCATCACCCCAGGAGTCTAAGATTGTTGTTGTTGTTGTTAAGTACCATGGAGTCAGTTTCGACTCATAGTGATCCTGCACAGCGTTTCCGAGGCTTTTTCTTACCTGAGCAGAATGCTGCCTCATCTTTCTCCCATGGAACTGCTGGTAGTTTCGAACTGCCGACCTTGAGATTGGCAACCCGACTTGCAACCACTACACTTCCAGAGCTCCTTATTCTCTCACATCTGAAGGTACTCAGATGCCTTTTGGCTTGTTCAAACAAATTTAGTGCTTCCACTTCATATAATGGTTGCTAGATCTCTAGCTGTTTATTAGTTCCAAGAAGAGAAATAGGAGTGGGATTTGATACTTTGATTCCCATCCCCATCCCCTTTAGCAATTTTCTGGAAGTCCTGCCCAATACATTGTTTGCGTCTAATTTACCAGACATGGTATTTGGCCACCTCTGTTTGTACTGTTGGAGTAAAGGGGAGGGTGGTGGTGCAGTGACTCAGCTGCTAACTAGAAGATCAGTAGTGAGAACCCACCAGTGGCTCCCAAGAGAAAAATGTAGTAGTCTGCTCCTGGAAAGATTGTTGTTGTTATGTGCTGTGAAGTCGGTTCCGACTCATAGCGACCCTGCACAGGGTTTTCAAGGCTGTAAATCTTTACAAGAGCAGAAAGCCTCATCTTTCTCCTGCGGAACAGCTGGTAGTTTCAAACTGCTGACCCTGAGGTTAGCAGCCCGCCTTGGAAACTATGGGGCAGTTCTCCTTCGTTCTTTAGGGGTCATTATGAGTCTAATCAACTCAGTGGCATTTACAGAGGTGTTCCTGGGTGATACAGACAGTTTGGTTAGGTCAACTGCTAGCCAAAAGGTTGGAGCTTCAAGTCCACTTAGGGGGACTTTGGAAGAAAGGCTTGGCAGTCTGCTTCCAAAAATATATTCACTGAAAGTCCTATGGAGCACAGTTCTATTCTGACAAGTCAGAATCAACAAAAAGGTAGCTATTCTGGTTTGTTCTTATTTGCAAGGATGTTTGGGCAATGTAGTTGTAACAATAAATAAAACTGTTTCTGTTAGTAAAGAAGTAGAGGAGTATAGCCTGGGTCTTCAAAACAGCCTAGCATTGGTACAATGACACAGACCAGTGGAACAGAATTGAGAACCCAGAAGTCATCAACCCATGGACAGTTGATCTTTGACAAAGGGTCAAAGTCTATTCACTGGGGAAATAGTTTTCCCTATGTGAACAACAACAACAAAAAAAAACACAGACCCACTGCCATTGAGTAGATTCTGACTCATAGAGATGCTCTATAGGACAAAGTAGAATGACTCCTTAGGGTTTCCCAGACTGTAAATATTTAGAGGAGCAGACAGCCTCTATAAGGCTCCCACAGAACAACTGGTGGAGTTCAACTGCCGACATTATGGTTAATCCATGTATGTTCGTATTGGTTAAAAATCTTAGTTTTCTAGAGCTGATTAAGAAAATATAGCAAAGTTGGTTGGACCTAGTGGTGCAGTGATTACATGCTTGGCTACTGACTGCAGTTGGCAGTTCAAAACCACAAGCCATTACACAGGAGAAAGACATGACAATCTGCTTCTGTAAAGATTTACAGCTTTAGAAACCATATGGGAATTCTCCTAAAACCTTTGAGTTTGACTAAAAAAGCTTAACTGTAGTTAAGTGTTGTTTCTCATTGCCATTAACAGGAACAGAATATTGGTCTAAAGCAGGGGTTGTTGTTGTTATGTGCCGTGAAGTCGGTTCCGACTCATAGCGACCCTGCACAGGGTTTCTGAGGTTGCAAATCTTTACGGGAGCAGAAAGCCTCATCTTCTCCCGTGGAACAGCTGGTAGTTTCGAACTGCCGACCTTGAGGTTTGCAGCCCGATTCGTAACCACTAGGCTACCAAGCAGGGGTATGGAACCTTTTTTATGCTAACATTTATAACATAATTCACAAGCCATACGAAATTAACAACTTAAAAATTAGCCTGCTATATTTGGTCAAACATTTAATTAACTCACCCCTAATGTGACAGTTGGAGTCCTGGTGTGGCGCTGTGGGGTTAATGCGCTAGACTGCAAAGCCGTTTGAACTGCAAGGTCGGTGGTTCAAGCTCACCAGCCGTTCCTGGGAAACCCTATACAGGGTTGCTATGGGTTGAAATCGACTCGACGGTGCTTAACAACAATAATGTCACTGTTGCCTTGGCAGGACCAGACCAAATGATTTTGCATGCTTTATACAGTCAGTCATGTTTCCCACCCCTGGTCTAACAGTATCATGGACGGACTGCTCAGTACAGTTTTTGAGTTCATATCAGAGTACCTTACCTAATTGATTGTTTCTGCTTTTGTTTCAGAATGGTCAGAGTTTTCTGGTTTTGGATGAACAAAGATTTGCAAAAGAAATTCTTCCCAAATACTTCAAGCACAATAACATGGCCAGTTTTGTGAGGCAGTTGAATATGTGTGAGTATGGACAGCAATTGGAGTGCTGCTATCTATCGCTGATGAAATCATTTTTTTCTTTTATGATCATAAAGGAAATACGTTACCTGTCGGATAATTAATGTTTAATCATTTCCGTTTGAATTTTGATTCTTTTTCAGATGGTTTTCGTAAAGTTGTCCATATCGATTCTGGGATTATAAAGCAGGAAAGGGATGGTCCTGTTGAATTTCAGCATCCTTACTTTAAACAAGGCCAGGATGACTTGTTAGAGAATATCAAAAGAAAGGTTTGTTAACATGAATGAAGGCATTGCCATGTATGTATACTAAACTTAACCAAGACTTTTAGTTCAGCTGTTGAAATAAGAATGTACTGAAATATATCGGTTTTCTTAGTTGGGAAGATTTAGACTACTGTTCTTGTGTGCATGCATGTGTATGTGCAAATGTGCCCACATGTACTGTGATTACAAAAATAGCAAATGGAAGAGATGTACAGTTGCCAAAAATAAAATGCATATAATGCTTTTATTATGATAACATGCTACTAGTGTGTCAGCAGGCTAGAATGTCAGATCCCATGAAGTCTGTAATTCATGTATATTTAATTCACATCATAAGTTCTTGGCACATGATAAGCACTCAGTATTAGACTTGAATGAATGCTGTATTATACTAAAATAATGTCTTTTTACTAAATCCATAAAAGGGGAGGAGGTAAAAGGGAGGTATGAATAGCAAATGAAATAGCATGCAGCTATTGCTGCATAAATTTAATTAAATATGGAATGTGGTAATAAAGAGACTTGGAGTAATTATAGGGAGTTTGGCAGAAAGGAAAAAAGAAATTGTAAATTGTTCATGCTCGTGAAATACTCGCAATATTTTAAACAAACAGACATAAATACAAAAACGAGAGTTTCAAAAAGTTCTTGGAAAAATACTGTTTTCCACAAATATATATGACTTGATTATTTCTTGCTTCCTCCCCCTCTAAGTTATAAAGTTTATTTTTTCTCTAGGATCCTATATTGGGCTTTTTAGAACCAACTCTGTTCCTGAACAGGCTACAGAAATTTCTTATAATAGAGATACTTTGATTATAGTCTTGATTCTTGGTGTTTGTTTTATTTTCTAAATTTGCTTTTTGACAAGGTTTCATCTTCAAAACCAGAAGAAAATAAAATTCGTCAGGAAGATCTAACAAAAATAATGAGTAGTGCTCAGAAGGTTCAAATAAAACAAGAAACTATTGAGTCCAGGCTTTCTGAATTAAAAAGGTAAGATATTATTTCAACTATAATCACATAATGACTTTAGCTATGTGTGTTGGGGGCTGGAAACTGCCTTTTTTTAAATTTAAGTATTTAGATTAATGGGGAGTATAAACAGTTAACACTTGGCTGCTAACAGAAAGGTTGGAGGTTCAAGTCCACCTGTATATACCTCGGAAGAAAGACCTGGCAATCTACTTCCTAAAATTGAGCCACTGGTAATCCTAGGAAGTACAATTCTAGTCTGACACACTTAGGAGATCTCCATGAATCAGAATTGACTTGAAAGAGACTGATTGTTATTGTAGTAGAACTTTGCAAAAGCCAAGATCATTTGTGGTTTCTCTGCAAGGATTGATTTCCTTTATTTTGATTTATGGCCATACTCAGTATTATAGTTTCATGATATTAGTCAAAAGAATACTAGGGTAAGTTAAAAAAAGAAAAGTATTGCTATAAAATTATAAAAACTTTTATTAGACAAAAATCAAGATGTGAGGCTATTTCTTGACATAGCCTCCATCTAGATTTATACATTTTTGAAGGTGGTGTTTTCCATCTCTCTGACCCTTCTGCCTACCACTCATCTTTCAGTTTGTCATTTGCTGTGATACTGGAAGCCATGCCGCCAATATTTTAAAGACCAGCAGGATCACCCATGGTGGACAGGTTTCATCTGAGCACCCAGACTTAAGATAGACTAAGAAGACAGAAGGATTACTTCCAAATGTTTAGCCACTGAAAACCTTATGAATAGAAGTGGAACACTGACAGAACAAGAATATTAAAACATTATGAATAATACCAAAATATTGTCAGATATAGTGCCAAAAGATGAGCTCCTCAGGCTGAAGAGCTGCCTCAAAGTAGAGTTGACCATGATGACATAAATGTAGTATAGCTTTTAGTATTTTATTAGCTGATGAGACACAAGTCAAAATAAGAACAAACAGCTGCAAACATGTATTACTAGTTGGAACATGGACTTTATGAAGTACGAATCTATGAAAATTGGAAGATGTCAAAAATGAAATGGAAACCTAAAGTTCCATAATCCTAGGTATTAGCTGAAATGGACTGGTATTATTCAAGCGCAAAGACGTCAGTTTGAGGACTAAGGTGCGCCTTACCCAAACCATGGTATTTTCAGTAGCATGTGAGAGTTGGGCAGTGAATAAGGTAGTTTTAAATTGTTTCATTTTCCACGTAATTTTAGCTACTAATGCTGTTTATTATCTGTGTCTTGTATAGATTGAGGTACTGTTTGACTTAGTTCTTTGGAGTACAGATTTAATTCTTACAGAAAAGGATCTCAAAATCATGTTATGAATCTTAAGAATAGCCATTTTTATACTTACCTTTACTAGGTAGATGACTGCATATTTAAAATTATGAGTCTGTAAAAGTATAGCAGTTATTCAGTAAGTATTAAAGAGAGTTTCCTTTTCAATACCTCTGTGTAAATTTAGTAGTGTAGTAGTCCCTGAGTGGCACAAACCTTTAAGTATTTGGTTACTAACTAAAAAGTTGGCGTTTTACATCCTGTTAGGTGCCATCAAGTCGGTACTGACTCATAGTCGACCCTATGTACAACAGAACAAAACATTGCCCGGTCCTGGGCCAACCTCTCAGTTGTGCCACGCTTGAGCCCATTGATGTTGCCACTTTGCCAATACATCTCGGTGGAGGTCTTCCTCTTTTCCTCTGACCCTCCACCTTACCAAACATGATATCCTGAAAATATGTCCGAAGTATGAAAGACAAAGTTTGGCCATCCTGGCCTCCAAGGAGCAGTCTGGTTGCACTTCTTCCAACATAGATCTGTTTGTTCTTTTGGCAGCTCATGGCACTTGCAATTTTCTCCTCCAACACCGTAACTTTAAAGAATCAATTCTTCTACGGTCTTCCTTATTCATTGTCCAGCTTTTGCATGTATATGCAGTGTTTGAAAATACCATGGCTTGGTTCAGGCGCACCCGAGTCCTCAAGCTGACATCTTTGCTCTTCAACACTTTAAAAGGGTCTTATGCAGCATATTTGCCTAATGCAATACATCATTTCATTTCTTGACTGCTGCTTCCGTGTGTGTTGATAGTTGATCCAAGAAATATGAAGTCCTTGACAACTTCAGTCTTTTCTCCGTTGATAAGAATGTTGTTTATTGGTTCGGTGGTGAGGAATTTTTTTTTTTTTTCTTTATATCTTAGGCCCTAGAATAATGGAAGTTTGGCCATCTACTTCCCAAAGATCACTTTCATTGGAAGAAAACCCAATGGAGTGCAGTATATTCTGAAACACAGAATTGATTAGTCTACAATTTTTTTTTTTTTTTTTCAAATGTAACCCCACCGACCCTTTGCAATCGTTTGGGTTGTTGAGATGGGTTTTGGAGATTTAGGAGAAAGTGAAAATTAAAGCATTTAGTATGTGAATTGTATTTGCTGCCTTTCAGCATGAAGTGTCAATTACAAATGGTGAATTAATGAAAAGTTACTATTATTATATAAGTTAACTGGTTTATTATATTCTTTATAATATATTTTTAAAATATATTTTTTAAAAACTGAAACATGTTTAAAAACTGAAACATATATATATATGTGTGTGTTGTGAGAGAGAGTTTTTATGTTAGGCCGACTTTAGTTTGCCTTCAGCTGATACCAAATTATTTATGTGATTTTGGGGAAAACCCTTTATTTCTGAGCCTCTGTCTGTATCCTTTCCTATTCAAATGATAATTCTTTCTTGATGGATTTTGCAGATGTTACTTAAGTAATACACAAAAAAATATTTAGCATAGTGTCTAGAGCATAACAAGTATTAGGTCAGTGTTGCTTCTCTTGATGAATTCTTTCCTATGGTGAGTCACAAGGTCTAACTTCACTAGGTAGCCACAGTTGAAAGGGAAGCTTATTAAGTTTTATAAACAAAAATTAATGAACAAGATTGTCCACGGAGTAAATGGCTGTAGTATGGATATAGGAATGACCTTTTAAGTCTTTGTATATGTATAATTATGAATAGCAGATGCTACCATTTTGTAAAGATGATTCTGAAATGTGTCTAGATATCTGCCATTATCATATACTTGAATCAAAGTATTCCTGGTCTCCTAAAAATATATAGTAGATAAACATATTTGTTGTTATTAAGTGCCATCGAGTCAGTTCTGACTCATAGGGACCCTGTATACGGTTTCTGAGGGGTGCCTAGTGAGCTTGAACCACACCGACCTTGCAGTTCAAACCAATCTTTCAGTCCAGTGCATTAACCTATCACACTAGGACTCCCAAATACAGATATAAGTGTAGTTAAGTTGTCTGGTATTCTTAACTACAGATACTGAGGCCTAGTTTTCTGAGTTGTTGTGTTTTTGTTTTTTAAATGGTAACAGTGAGAATGAGTCTCTTTGGAAGGAAGTGTCAGAATTACGAGCAAAACATGCACAACAGCAACAAGTTATTCGAAAGGTAAGTTTCCTCCCCCACCCACCCCTCCATGGCCATAAACTGTATGTGTTTAATTAGACCACTTGAAACTCAAAAACAAGAAAAATTCTTGGTTATCCTGTGATTGATCTAATAGGTTCTTATATTTTTGGATACACAGAAGTAAAACTGAAGTTCAAGAAATTGTTATATATACCCTCATTAATAAACATTTCACATCAAAGATGGCTATTCTATACAGATAATGTCTTAGTAGCTTAGTAGATGCCCTTTGGTCTGACATAACAACTTTGAGATATTTTATTCCCAGGAATCTAGCTCTACTATACTTTTTATTATAAAAGATATATTGTGGTCTTAGAAAATAAATTAGTATTTTCAAATCACCTGACCAACTTACAGATTTTTAAAAAATGATTTATCTCAGTGTATATTCTTAGTAGTCTGCAGAAAAGCAATTAATATAGTGTTATAAAATAAATCCTACATTTTAGAATCTGAATTGAAAATTACTGGGAGAATTAGAAATCCTTCTGTTTCCTGATGTCCTTGTGATTAGGCTTTGCCTATAAGTTTTCATATGTTTAATAAGATATAGAACATAAGAGTAATTAACTTGGTTATTTTTGCCCATGAGTAAACTGGACTCTTAAGTTTAAACAACACGTTTTTTGGGGGTAGGGGGCAGGTGGGGTACAAGAGTGCCAGCCTTTAAGTTACAAGATCTTTGAGCTAAAAATAGGGTTCTGGCTGACAGGATTTTGGTCTAGTACCAAGGCTTAGAACAGTGAGGAATGGCAGTTGCAGCCTATTGTCAAAGTAAATATACCTGATTTTGTTGTTTTGTTTTTTGAGCTGAATGAAATTTAGGTTGGAAGGTGGTGGAATTAATTTCTAATTAATTAATGTTTAATCTTAGTGTTTAAGCTCATGCATTTTCAAAGCTTCCATAAGTGAATCCATGTACAATTCTGTTAAGAATATCTGCTTTTAAATAATAGATGTGCTCCTCATCATTTAAAAAAAAACTTAATCTTTTTCAGAAAAAAAAAATTTAATGTTTACTTGTGATACATGGAAATCTATAGACTTTATTTTTTTTTTAAAGCAAAGATAGTTGCTAAAGTAGGTGGTGGTGATGGCGGTTATGTGCCGTGGAGTCAGTTCCGACTCATAGTGACCCTGTACAGGGTTTCCGAGGCTGTAAATATGGGAGCAGAAAGCCTCATCTTTCTCCTGCGCAACAGTTGGTAGTTTTGAACTGCTGACCTTGCGGTTCGCAGCCCAATTCATAACCACTATGCTACCAGAGTATAGGTACGTTACATTATTGAGGTTTCTTTCTTTTTTTCTGTGAAAACTAACATTATTGTTGTTAAGTATCTTCAAGTCTGTCTGACTCTTAGTGACCCTATATAGGGTTTCTGAGACATGAAATCTTGTGGGAACAGAAAGCCTCATCTTTCTCCCATGGAGAAAGGTAGACTCAAACCACTGACCTTGTAGTTCACAGTTTGATGCTTATTGTATGGAACCACCACTCTCCTGGAAAGGTATTGTGTTTTCTGCCAAAATATGAGTTTGAATGTTTTTTGTTGCAATTGAAGAGTTTACCTAACGCATGTTGTTGCTCTTAAGTGCTGTAAAGTCAGTTTTGATGCATAGTGACACTGTATAGGGTTTCTGAGGAGTGACTGGTAGGTGTGAGCCACCAATCTTACTTACCATTGGCAGTCCAGTGTTTTATCTTACACTAGGACATGCATGATGACACTACGACATATATAATGACAGTTAATAATTTTTACTCCATTTCTAGAATTGTTCCCTAATCTGTCATTTATTCACTCTTTGACCATGGAATAACAACCGAAATACTCATATATGAGAAACTTGTTATAGGATTTGTCCAGTATATAAATGAGGTGTTATAAATATTATATGTCTCAACTTCAGAAAATATTCTCAAAGCATGATGCAACAGTGCCAAACAGATTGAGAGGAAGAATAAATTTAAGGAAAAATCTAGCCAGTTAATTCATCTTTGTAAATTTAACCACTAATTTTTTTTTTAAGTATTTGCCCGTAACACTTATTTGTAAATTAAAAAAAAATAATAATAGTTGAAGTTTTCCACAGATACCTTTAAGTTTAAATGTTACCTTTTCATGAATTGTCAGTACTTTTCTTTTGAATAAGTTATTTAGTGCCTAAATTCCCTACCATAAATTCTAATATTGTTGTCAGACTTTTTCAGCTAAAAGATCTATTATTTTCTTCATTGAAATCTGATAACTGATTGTAAGGCAGCAAAATATTTAGTAATCTTTTGGGAGTAGTTTAGTAATACTTTCGACAGTATTTTTAAATATCAGTACCCTATTTTAATCATGTAATACATTTCAGAAAACTTACAAAAAAGTCTTGTCCTCTGATTACTTTGACCTTTATTCATAGCCTCTCAGTGACATACTGGTTTTCATAACCTTTCAGTGACATTCTACTTTTCATAGATACCTATTGAGCTTACCTTTTTAGCATCTTTAGGAAGGTAAAAATATAATTTCAGGGCATACCCGAAATTTTATTCACATTTTAACTCACATCATCACCCAGAAATCTTGGTAAAACATCAGAATTCAATCCCCAGAATTTCAGCGTCAATGGTTCTAGAGTAGAACTGAGAATTTTCATGTCTTCCAAGTTCCTAGGCCAGGTCTATTGGTTCGTGGATTTACTTAAGAATCACTACCATAAAATATGAAGGTTTATTTGCATGTCTTTATCTGTTTAATTAATAGTTGTTCCTCTAAATTAAATCAGATGTTAAAGATTGAGGCAGCTTCTCTTGAATGTAAGCAGGAAACTTTGGCAAAGGTTTAGTGCTACAACAATAATGTCTCGTGAATCAGCAAGTCAACTTTTTCTTACTTGAAAACTGTGATCTTTTCTGAGTTGATCATTTTTTCATTCTTCATAACTTGGTGTAAGAAAAATGTTGCCTATTAAACACCAGTGTTTTTCTTTTGTATCATAATGTACTCTTGAAAGTATTTAAGTAAAGTTGACATCCCATCTAGGCAATTTTGTTGTTTATCAGTACACATAACTAAAGTGAAAATTGATAAATAGGTAGATTTTGCAGGCATTTCTATGTCTTTGTACAGGTAGCAACAACTTTATCACAACTTATTCTTTCTTAAAGCTGGGACATTGGAAGGCTTAGTCATTGAAATTAAAAAATTTGAAGTCTAAAATGGAAGAATGTTTATTTATGTTTTCATTTTAGATAGTCCAGTTTATTGTCACATTGGTTCAGAATAACCAACTTGTGAGCTTAAAACGTAAAAGGTAAGTCTTTATGCTAATACATTTTGACCTATACATAGATAACCAGACATTTTTGTGTTTAAACCGTGAGTGATCTGCATTTGTGGAGTATTTGCCTGTTGTGCCCTTACTTACTTAGTTATGCTCTCAACATCTCAAGAGTGCTGTTATGTATTGTTGCTGTCCTTCCTGTTATTTTTGAGTGATAAGCGTAGCCTTAATGGATACTTTAAACGTACAATTAATAAAGAATCCATTTTTTAATTCAGATTAGCAATTAATATATATATTAATATCACACTGTTGCTGTTGTCATTAAGTGCTGTATAGGGTTTCTGAGGAGCCACTGGTGGGTTTCAACAGCCACTTTGTGATTTGCAATCCAGTGCTGATCCTACAGTGCCACATAGGAGTTCGCAGATCTGAATGAAGGAAGTTCTTTAAAAATATCCATATGTTGGAGAAAACATCTTACATTTAGTTCACTTATAAAAGTCATTTCAAACCGTGTATCAACCATGGGTTGTGATACCTTTAAATATAAGTAGATACAATTGTCACACTTGAGCATAAAAAAAAAAAAATGAGTAAAAGTAATAGTTGGAAGGAGAAAAAGAATATTTTTAAGACTAAGATTTTATCATACATTAATTATGATCAAAGCTTTGTTGCCTTCATTTGCTTCCAGTAAATAGTTCGTATAATAGTAATTACTGTTGTTGTTGTTAAGTGTCCTGGAGTCACTTTGAACTCATAGCAACCCTGCATAGTGTTTCTAAGGAGTAGCTGGTGGGTTTGAACCACCAACCTTGTGGTTCAAACAGACCTTACAGCCCATTTCTTTATCCCACAGCTCCACACCAAGACTCCAGTTCTATAATATTATCTGTTTATTTTACTATATCGTTTATATAGTTGTGTGGTTTAGTCAGCAGTGAAGTAGAACTAGAGGGAATGGTTTGTTAAACAGTTCCTCATATATCTTTACTGGAATTTCTTAATCATTATTATAATGATTATGTGTGTGTGTGAGTAAAATTTTTAAAAGTAGTTTAAACTCCTTGTATGTTTGCTTCACTGAACTGCATCAGTATGCTTCTAATTTTCAGGCCTCTACTTCTAAATACTAATGGATCCCAAAAGAAGAATCTGTTTCAACACATAGTCAAAGAACCAGCGGATAATCACCATCACAAAGTAATATTTTGTTAAGTTCTATTTTGTTTTTGTTAATTGCCCACAACTAAACTTCATTACAATAATATTTCATATATAAACTAATTCAGTGAATAATAATTTTAAGTGTTTATTCCCCAGCTTTATTAAGTGTAATGTTTTTTGATCCCCGTTAGCACAGTGGCCATTTGACTATGCTTTAAATTTCTGGTCACGTTTTAACAACTTTATTTTGTCCTTTGGGTATGAAAGGTGCACAGAATTTGAAAACCTTTCTATAGAGACATTCTGACATATTTAATCTTCAATGTACCTTGAGGTAAAAGAAGTAGTTGCATATGCACAAATAAACCTCCTGTCTCTCTGAAATGGTAAAATTTAACATCATTTGTCATATAAAGGCAAAGGACATATACCACTGTATCCCCAACATTTAATACATGATAGGTACTTAAATTTTTTATGCTACATTATTTGCTAGTCAATATAATTTCGATTTTTTTATGTATTTTTCTCTGATCGTTTAGGTTCCACACAGTAGGACTGAAGGTTTAAAACCAAGAGAGCGAATTTCAGATGACATAATTATTTATGATGTTACTGATGATAATGCAGATGAAGAAAATATCCCAGTTATTCCAGAAACAAATGAAGATGTTATATCTGACCCCTCTAGGTAAGGAGATTATGTGTAGGGGGGGTGGGGGAGGTGTGTGTGTGAAAATACAGGATACTTTTCTTATCAAAAACCTCAATTCAAAATAGCTTTATTCTTTAATAGTAGACTAATCTCTAGCTCATAATAAGGATATTTAGATTGAATAATTAAGCTAAGTTAGTCATCCAAATAAATACTCCCAAAGAAAAAGTAATGAAAACTGAATTTAACTTAGTTTTTACTCTGGAGTTTAAAATCTTTAATTGATTTTCTTGTGCTCTTATATCTTGTGAAATATGAATATGTATGACCAGGCTGCTTACCTAAGGGGGATGTATGATTTGGGAAGACAGTTTTCTAGAGAGTGAGTGGATAGAATGAATTTATTAAATTTGAAAATATAATTGGTTCTTTTTTCTCATGTTACTCATTAATAGTTGTAGCCAGTATCCTGATATTGTCATTGTTGAAGATGACAATGAAGATGAGTTTGCCCCTGTCATTCAGAGTGGAGATCAGAGTGAACCAGCCAGAGAATCCCTAAGTTCAGGCAGTGATAGCACCAGCCCACTCATGTCTAGTGCTGTACAGCTAAATGGCTCATCCAGTCTGACCACAGAAGATCCTGTTACCATGATGGATTCCATTTTGAATGATAACATCAATCTTTTGGGAAAGTGAGTGCTTACTTTATCTTTTTAAAAATTGTTTTTTTTTTTTTTTTTT